ATTCGGGAAGACTCAACCCGCCAGAACATCGGCGCAGGGTCAGGCCCACTGGCAGCACATCCCTCTGGCGTGACCGTTTAAACGGCTGAATGGTTAGCCACACAGGGACACTTGTGTCCCGGCAGGTGCCAAATCAATGCAGCGCACTAGTCAGTGGTCGACTCACCAGCTTTGCCATTCCGGGTTAGTTTGAGCAGATGCGGTCAATTGGTCAGTATAGGGCGAAAGACTCGCTGTGACGTTCCCGCTCCGTCTGTGACAGGTCCGGAGAGGGGTCCGTCCCCCGGCTGCCAGCGGATCCTGCGCCTGAGCTCCTCACTGCTGGGCTGTGTGGACCGCCACCCCCACCCGGGCGCCTGCCGCTCCGGCTCAATGGACGCAGCCGCGGTGACAGCCTGCCTGCGGCGGCGCGCCGCGCGGCTCCGGCGGCCGGCGCGGCTCGTGCTGGTCGGCGACTCCCGGGCCCGGATCCTGCAGCAGCAGCTGAGCGCCTTCCTGCAGCTGGCGAACGGCTCAGAGCCGGTGGACGTGCGCGCCGAGGACGTGCCCGAAGGCCCGCTGCGCCGTCACCAGCTCTCAACCACCCGCGACTTGTGCCGAAAGTTTGACAAATTCTGCAGTCACCTGGTGGGCAACGACCTGCTGCAGGTGGACTTCTGGCGGCGGCCCTACCTGCACACCCTGTTCACCGGCAAACTGCGGAGCCTCGTGGCCGAGTGTCGGGCGGGTGCGGACGGCTGCCCGGACCTGGTGGTGCTCAACGGAGGCATGTGGTACCTCAGAGCGTTCGACGCCATCAGGGACGTCATCAACACGCCGATGACGGGCGCGATGATGATGAGAGACCACGTGGGCGCGCTCAGAGAGGTGCTGACGGAGCTGGTCTCGCACACGACGGTCGTATGGCGCCTGGAAGAGGCCGTCATCACCGATGCCTTACCTCTGGACAGGAAGGATACGGTGCAGAGAAAGCTCACCATGTCACACGCCCTCTTCTTCGACCTTCAACGTCAGGTGAGTGCGGACATTTCCTCTGGCCTTCCATGTGTTTAGTCAAAGGATTGAGAAAGCAAGCAGAGACGTAGGTCTCGAAACGTTTGCATACAGTTTTCTAAGAGATCATGTGCGAATGCATGATGGAACGCACATAATCATCCTGCCTATAAGCTCTCTGTTAGTCCATGGTCATAATGCATGATTGGCCACGCACTGCGCACATAATCATCCTGCCTATAAGCTCTATGTTAGTACCAGTAAAACGCCTTTTGGGCGAAGAACGAGCGAGCGAGATAGTGAGCCCTGCACGTGCGGAAGGGCGAGAGGGTACTTCCAACGGGCTTGCGCAAAACACCCTTCTAACCGGTCGCTAGCGGTGTACCAAATTTGAACGCAATCGGCCCAGCCGTTCCTGAGATCTGGAAGCGGCATTCTGCACGTGCGCACGTGCAAACGGGGTCCAAACTGACTTTTGCACGGCACCCTACTAACCGGTCTCCAACCAAGTACCAAATTTGAGCGCAATCGGCCCAGCCGTTCTCGAGATCTGGAAGCGCCCCCTGCACGTGCGCACGTGCAGTAGCACCCTAACCGCAACACATGGGAATGCATTGCCTGGTGGGTGCCTACCTGTATGCCAAGTTTCAGCGAAATCGCCCCAGTAATTACCGAGTTATTAAAATGGGAACAAATTTGACACCTCTTATTGTTGTATTTTGCACGTGCACTGGGGTGACCTACATGCATTGAGAGTATCCTATTTTTGGTAGAAAGGATGCAGCTACCCTATAAAAATTACCGCAAGTCAATCGCCCAAGCGGCTGCTGAGATATGAGCCTCTCAAAATCACTACTTTTGCAAAACAGCTTGAACACCCTTGACATTTCACGTGGCACGTGCCACGACGGTCACTGAGATGTATCAAAAGTAGTCAATTACGGGGTAGAAGGGATGGGGCTACCCAGCAAAAAAGACCGCAGGCCAATCGGTCCTCCGGTTGCTGAGATATAGACCTCTCAAAAGCGTTACAGGCCGGGCCGGGCCGGGCCGGGCCGCTCATACTGAGATTTTTCCGTTATAACCAGTAAAACGCCTTTTGGGCGAAGAACGAGCGAGCGAGATAGTGAGCCCTGCACGTGCGGAAGGGCGAGAGGGCGCTTCCAACGGGCTTGTGCAAAGCACCCTTCTAACCGGTCGCTAGCGGTGTGCCAAATTTGAACGTAATCGGCCCAGCCGTTCCTGAGATCTGGCAGCGGCATTCTGCACGTGCGCACGTGCAAACGGGGTCCAAAATGACTTTTGCACGGCACCCTACTAACTGGTCCCCAACCGTGTACCAAATTTGAGCGCAATCGGCCCAGCCGTTCTCGAGATCTGGAAACGCCCCCTGCACGTGCGCACGTGCAGTAGCACCCTAACCGCAACACATGGGAATGCAATGCCTGGTGGGTGCCTACCTGTATGCCAAGTTTCAGCGAAATCGCCCCAGTAATTACCGAGTTACTGAAATGGGAACAAATTTGGCACCTCTTATTGTTGTATTTTGCACGTGCACTGGGGGTGACCCACATACATCGAGAGTATCCTATTTTGGGTAGAAGGGGTGCTGCTACCCTACAAAAATTACCGCAAGTCAATCGCCCAAGCGGCTGCTGAGATATGAGCCTCTCAAAATCACTACTTTTGCAAAACAGCTTGAACACCCCTGACTTTCCACGTGGCACGTGCCACGACGGTCACTGAGATGTATCAAAAGTAGTCAATTACGGGGTAGAAGGGATGGGGCTACCCAACAAAAAAGACCGCAGGCCAATCGGTCCAGCGGTTGCTGAGATATAAGCCTCTCAAAAGCGTTACAGGCCGGGCCGGGCCGGGCCGGGCCGGGCCGGGCCGCTCATACTGAGATTTTTCCGTTATATTGAAAAGACTCACTTCGCTCGCTGCGCTCGCTCGCTCGTAATGAAAAGACTCGCTTCGCTCGCTGCGCTCGCTCGCTCGTAACAAGGTCATTTGCAGGTAGTTTTGATACGGTTATTACCCCAGCTATTTGTCAAATTTGAGATTGAAATAGCCGTTGAAAACCGTTAATTCCCTTAGCGAGTCTATGAACGCGGGATTGTGAGTCGATCCAGCTGCCGAAGCCTTGGAGTGCTAGGCTAACATAGCATGCTCCTGAAAATGAACCAATGAAACTGGAGCTGTTCGCAACCTCGCTACACTGCGAATGACAACCATGCGGACGTTCCAGGTGCCGGGACTGCTGGTGTGGTCTTCCATGCTACCGGAGACGTTCGACTTTGCGCAGCGCGTGTGCCGCCCCGTCAAACAAATCGCCAACTCCACTGACATTGTCGTAGAGGAGATTTTCGACGAATGCGACGACGAGATCCACGTGGGCCCAGAGATGCGCCAGCGTTTCGTCTCAAAACTGCTGGACATTTTGTGTGAGACGGATGGGGATAGGGAGCTCGGACACTGCTGCAGAGGGTAGGCCGGCCACCCTCCCAGAGCTGCGAGCTTAAACAGTATGCCATCCACTATCGCAGGTACCGTAAATGCTTTAATTGCGCACTGCAGTGTGGCATACTAAGATCACACCCCTGGTATGGTATATTAACCCGCGCACCGACGGGGGAGTGGGTAACCGCCCCCCCCCCGAGGTTTTTCGTGAATAGTGGAAAAACCGCGGCGCATAGCGCCACTAAATTTGACATTACTTTTCCCTCATCAATTTCACACATGGTGTGCAAGTTTGAACCTGCTACCTTTCAAGGTCAGGTCACCAGGTCACTTCGAATGACCCAACCTCAAATCACCTTTTTGCAACTTTGTCACTGTGTCAGAGATACGGTAAATGACGGAAGCCTTTGAAAGTCGTAGGATGTAATGAGGTTATTGCTAGCTACGATTTGTATATCTCTGATTTTTATATCGATGACCTAAGGTCAGTTCAATTTCTTGACCTCCCATTACAAGTCAATGGGGAAAATCAACCCCCTATTTTTTTCCATTAAAACGCGTCAGAATGGCCCAATATACCATGAATGACTTCATATAGGACCAACCTTGACTACCTTAAGGCCTTTTTTGCTCTTGGGTAACTGTAAGGTCATGTGACATCATCAAGGGTCAAAAGTGTTTTGCTAATCACTCCTTACAGTCATGTAACGAGATACAGCCGCGCGGATGGTCTCATTGTGTTCAGCTCGTCAAGGCGCATCGAATTATATACATGATGACCTTGAGGTCACGTGACCTGACGTCAACCTTTACCTTGAACTTTCCAGGTCAATATTATATATATATATATATATATATATATATATATATATATATATATATATATATATATATATATATATATATATATATATATATATATATATATATATATATATATATATATATATATATGATTCGGTGCGGATTGAGGAGAGGATCACGATGGTGCCAAAAGTTTGTTCCTAGCTTGGCTACTTCAAAAGTTATTTCTAGCGCTGCCATTTCGAATTTTTTGACACCTGTGACGTCATCTTTGACCTGACCTGAAAACGACCCGGGTACAAATTGTAGATCTTGTCCGTGCGTACCCAATGCCGTTTACCGCTTGTCGCTATCTTGCTTCGTTCTCGAGATCTCAGGGGGGGGGGGCAGTCATCCGCACCCCCGTCGGTTCTAAGTTGGGCGGACCCCCGTCGGTGCGCGGGTTAATCAGACATTTCGTGAGTCTTTTTTAAAAATATGAAATAAAATACAGCTCAGATACGTAGGCACCATTTCAGTGTGTGAGCATGTGATGCCAGCAAGCGTACCGTTACTCCGCGGAATTAAACATTTCCCATACTCCATGGACTAACAATGGACGGATCACCATTCACCAGTCATTTTCATGGCTTGTAGTAGTGAATGTTTGCATTTTGGTTGTGAGGCGTAAAATATATTCAGTGTGTGTTGTCGCACATTACGGAGAGGTTGGTCTTAACCATACAAATATCAAGCCGAAATAAGCGTAAATATTTATTTCAATTCCCTCCCTCGTTAAATGTATTACAGCACCAGCACAATCCCGCACGATATTACAAAAGAGATTCAGTTTGCTTTAGTACTCCATCTACCGACGAAACAAAGCTATACAAAAAGAAACAGCAATGCAACCGTTGGGGGTATTTCATAACCTTGCTTCATGTTGAGCTCTAGCACATTTGAGCTTTGCAGACTGCCCTCTAATTAGACACAAATACACAAATGAGATAGCATTGCACAAAAGAAAAGAGAAGAAATGGCACAAGTCTGGCAAAAAGCCGATAGTTCCGTATCACAAAGTGCACATCACTCGTGAATATTTTTACATAAAAAACTGTTTTACGTGCTCGATGCTTTTATCCAGTAATTATCAGTTAACTAACGTTGGTCCCTTGACCGAGTTACAATTCACGATTCACCCATAACACTCCAATGGGAAAGATCCACTAACACCAGGAAGATCTTCAAAGGATCACAAAAATCGAATACCCCTGAAAGTTGGTTGTAGCTCTTCAGCACCTTGTCGGGTCATCTGATGGTCGGCCATCGGCGCCGCTATCGGCGCCCTCTGCCACAGTCTGCCGGTATAGAGGACGGTGCCACCGCCCTCTGCCACAGTGTGCCGGTATAGAGGACGGTGCCGCCGCCCTCTGCCACAGTGTGCCCGTATAGAGGACGGTGCCGCCGCCCTCCCCGCTCCGGTCGCTCAGGCGGCCGCAGTCATCTGCTTCAGGTACTCGGCGCGAGCCGTCATCTTGTCAGATTCCTCTCCCCGAGGGTAGGGTTTCCACACGGGCTCTCCACAGAACAGACGGCACGCCTTGATGTAGTTCTGTGTGGGACAAGCCCCGGAGAAATGTCACTCTACGGCGGCCAGTCCATGTCATGGCTGAGCCCAGATTTGGACCAGGGGAGGGGAAGAACAATAAAACTGGATCGAAATTCAACCGAAGTTGGTACCTAAGTATAAGAATATGTTAGTTCTGAAGAAGTTATACGCCCTTCTCTATAACATTGCTTAGGAAACACAGACATGATTGCTTTACAGTACGTGTTTCTTTGTTTTACCTTATACGTATACGCGTTCGTATGAACACGGTAACTATTTACTTGAGTAAGCCGCTATTCAGTACAACCAAGGACACCCGACGACAACGACAGATGAAGGAAAACTTGTGCGCGCACACAAGTACGATTAGCTAAATAGGACACCGATAACCATCGCTTTATCGCCGCCAAACAGCTATTTACTGGCGTTATCAGCATAGTTGTGTTTCGTCACCCGTCACCGTACAGCCAGAGCGGAAGACAAACATGGTTGAAAAGCGAACATGCTCTTTCCTTAAGCCATGCGCCCAGTCCTGTCCCGCACCGAACGAATCTATAGAATGTCTCTTATCTGCACATAGCAGGCGTCCGATCAGAAAGCACGCATTTAACTAATGGCATACGCAGTTAGTAGACCACCACCGTACTTCGGTACATACTAAAGCCGAAGATGGATCCAAAAAGGAGCTTGGTCCAAAAACTGACGGAGGATTGGAGGATATGTGGATGGGAAAGTTAAGTTATTTGATGGAATTGGTCATCCAACGAAGTAGTCAAACGACGCAGCCACACCAAGGAAAAACCAAGGTCTTTCCGAAACCCAACGGAATGCACATGCAAGTTGATGAACGCCCTGAGGCCAGAAGCGTCTGGAGGAGCATCGACCAGGAGAACCCGCGTCTCGGCCAAGAGTCGCCAGGCCAGGGACAGAAGCGAAGGAATGTTGGCCAGTGGTGCAGGCGCCAGGGCTCTGTCGTGGTTGCAGGCCTCGGCCGGATGGGGTGCGAGTCGGACGACGGTGAAAACAGGGCGCCTGGGGCGACTTGATCAAGGCTCTTGAAATTCACTCCCATAAACCACGTGACATCCAGCATGTAGAAGGCACTGAGAGGGGGAGAAGTTCTTAATAGTCACGTGACCAAATGTGCCCTCCGGCGCCCTGTTTTCACCGACGCCCGTGCCAGTCTCAGCCGGATCAGGGGGGGGGGGGGTCTCAGCCAGGGACGCATGCGTCTATGAGGGTCCAGGGATGCAGGCCTCGGCCAAGGACATGGCTCCCGGCCACCCACCTTTGAGCAGCAGGTGAAGCGGTGGTAGCTGCCGGCCGGCAGCACCAGCAGGTCTCCGCGCTCCACCAGCACGCGCACCCACCGGTCGTCCGTGTCGCGCACGTCAAAGTACCCGGAGCCCTCCAGGATCAGGCGAATCTCCTCGTCCGAGTGCAGGTGCTCCTCGAAGAACGACTTTATCTGTGGCAGACAGGGTGAGGTGGGGACGTGAGACGTTGGTAGTTAGCGTCGACTGGGCAAAGTTGGTGAGTAGCTGGAGATGTTGAGCATCTCGAGTTGGTAGGCGAGTATAATAGGCGAGTCAGTTGAGATGGGACATGGGTGCGTGGGATACTATACAAACGACCCGGGAAAACGAAACAAGGGTCTGCGATGATGCAACACTGAGCGCCGTCCGTCTACTATCGCGGAGACAGCCGAGCAGCGACCAACGTATGGTGTTGTGACCCTAGTTTCTGCTGCTGGGAACACGATGACAAAATCGTTGGTGGGCACACGAGTACAAACTCGACAACTCTCATTATCGGAAAACGCGTCTAGCCAGTCGCCTTAACGAATAGATATGTAATCGTACACACGGCGGTGATAACTGCACTCACCATGTCCCAGATGGATCACGTGTACACGGCTCGAACGATAACCGTAGTCGTCCTTCAAGTGCGATAAATACGCTTCACCTTACTTACAGATAATCCAACTTCGCATCATCATTGGATAATGAGACCCATCTCAAACACCAGGAGGTAATCATAAATTTTATTTCTATTGATTTTAGCTGGGCAGAGACAATCACACAAAAAATGAACATACATTACTTTTTAAGCAATAATTACGATTGCCCCGAACTGAACTGCAATGAGCCAGTGATACTTCACCGGAACAGACGACAAAGTTGTCTCTTATCGCTAGCATATCCCTCCCATCCCTTCACAGCCCTAATGATATTGTCGAAGTCTGTAAACAATCCACAAAACGGCGACGGTACAACCGCACAATGAAAATGATTATAAATACACAACACCAGACCACTCAAACGACTAAACAATGAGGTTAAATGGATAAAACACACGCAACACTTCTCATCAAACGCGAGCGTACCGTTCTGTGTTCACTCATCCAGACACCCCCAGTGTTCTGTGACCTAATATGACCTGACGTCCCTCCCCCGGCACCACGGCCGGTCGGGACGGGTCACACCTCTCAGGGCACTCTCCGGTAAGGGGTGCGCCGTTTGTAGATTTTGTACTTGGCCAGCTCCTCGGCGGGGAGGTAGTCGGTGGGATCGACAAAGTTCGGGTCGTAGGGCACGTAGGGCGGCTCCGGGCCGCCCTCCTCGGGCGGCGGCGGCCCGAACCAGCCGTCCGGGGTACGCTCTCTGAACCGGCGCGCCGCCTCGCTGCCGTGCCAGCCGGGCTCTCCCTCGGCCGGGGGCGCAGCGGCGGCTCCCTCCGCCTGCAGACCTGACGGGCCCTCGCCGGGGTCGGCCTGGGACACCCCTGTGGAGCTCTGACTAGAGGTAGAGGCCCGGGTCGGAGCGCGCGCCGTGGTGCGCCGACGGGCGCCACCGACAGCGACTGAAGTCGAGGCCGAGGTGCCGGGGGCGGCGGCGGCCGGTCGGGCGGGAACGGCCGTCCGGCGAACCGGCGGGTTCTCTCGCACGTCCAGCGGCCCCATCAGGGGCTCCACAGCCGGCACCGCCCGTATCGGAAACCCGTAGTACTCCCACAGACGGATGCACGTGTAGAACCAGGCAGCCAGCAGCAGGAACGGCCAGAACATGGTGAACAGCATCACCGTGCAGCAGCACTGGTAGGGAAGTGTGAGCGCGCGCAGCGTCTGCAGGTACACCCGCCACGTGCGAGTGATGAGCGGCGCGAAGAAGAGGTAGACCCGCACCGCCACGTAGTGCAGCAGGCCCACGAGCAGCAGCGGGGACAAGTTCGACTTGGGGACGATGAAGCGCTTCACGTTGTCGTCCGCCATGGTCGGGCCGCGGCTGGCTGGCGGAGCCCTCACGGCACACCGTGGCGGATCGGACACGTGCCGCGCGTCTCACGGACGCACCACGTGCGCACAGGTGAATGGAACGGACCACCACACTCGGACCCCGGCTCAGAACTGCGCGGCCGGCGCGTGGTGACAGCGGTGCTTGCGTGCGTCACTCGTCGCTCAGCTGTGGGCCGGCGCCGCCGGCGGTCTCCGACCAATCAGAGCCGTCCGATAAGTCAGGTGACCCGACGAGCCGAGCCAGCCCAGCCGCCGGGCAAAGGTCGACCGTGCGCCGCGCGGGGGGGGGGGGGGAGGATGGGGTGGTGCGGCCGGAGGCCTCGGCCACGGCCCACGCGTCCGCCGACCTTGAGCGGGTAGCAGTCAGACGTGCCAGGCACCGGTTGTATAAACAGATGCGGGCACGCCAAAGTGCGACCATCCGCCTCGGTTATGCCGATGACAGCAAGAAGACTTTAGTAAAAATGCCAATTACCGGGGTTACATGAGCAAGTAAATGCGTATCTATCAGGAACGGATTTTCCTATTCGCTCACCATTGTAGTCCGTTTGTAATGCGTATTAACTCTGCTCATGTAACCCCGAGCAGTGACAGTGAAAACGACTTCAGCGGAGGACCTACCAGGGTAATTTGAGTTCCATTGAGCCGGACCGGAACCGCACTAGCCATAAACCACCAGTACCAGGACGGATCGCATTCATCAGTTCTACCTTTGCAAGATGATACAGGGCAACATTTTTTCCATAACGCGCATGGGAACAAGTTACAGATCCGCACAGTGCATGGTTCATGCATGCATGGATAAACAGTATCCCAGAATAACCTGGCATTCATAAACACCCCGACGACCTCCCAGAATAACCTGCACAGTGTTACCATTACCGTAAGCCTTCCAACTCCTGATGAAATCGGGCTCCAGACTAGTTACCCATGGGTCAAATGCAAAAGGGATGACACGTGGATCGCACTTTGATATCTGGCATTCCCCATGCACCCGGACCTCAATACCGAACAGTATCCTTGGTCCAATCGGAAAAGAGCACGGCAATCACATTACCTCTTACAGCCTCGTCCTTAGCGGGGCAGACCTCTCGGCTCAGTATTAGGCATTGAGGCAGTCAACAAACTCCGGCACCAGGGACGACCGACAAGCGACAACACACCAGGTTTAGCACTTAGCAGTTTTGTCATCTTCGGTTGGGGACGCGTAACTGTCGGAAGAAGCGATACCTACCAAACGACAAGCCAACTCTACCCAAAGATAAGTTTTTAGGACGATAGATTTATCGTACTGACGCACTTCTATCTGCAGTAATTGCCGTTCAGCGATGCGTAAATGCAGCTTCTGACAAGAAAAGAAAATACTCATTTGTGCGCATTCTTTGTAGCTTAGTTGGAAGGCGAGCACCAACAATAACACCAACTTCAATGAGCAGGCATTCGCTAAAGCCGTTAAGCCACGGTAAAGATATCTTCTCTTAGTATGGGAAGATGTCAGACCCTTACGAAATAACTCACCTTTAATTAGCCCGGGAAGCACACGGACATTCAGATCAGACTTTCTCGCTCGGCACTGACCTTGGTCTCGTAGTTTTCCAGCTTGTCCGGCGACACAGTGATGACGTCCTTATAGTTGTAGCCGCGCTCCTGGCGAATCTTCTCCACCAGAGGCGAGTTCTCAACGTCCTCGTCTTCAATCTGGGGGACGGCAAACAATCAGAACAAGGGCCGCTGGACAAAAAAAAACACTCAAAACTATATGAACAAGGCAATGTTGATTCACATACCTTCCAGTACAGGCATCCGGTCCTCTCCTTCAGCTGATCCAGCGACAGTTCCTCGAAGGGCTCCGTTTTGTGGGGCAAGCGCTGGTCGTCGTCTGCAGACAGGTCACCCATGTACCAAGCCTGGACCATTTTGGTGCTGGAAAAAAGAGTGGGTTTAAGTCAGCCAAATGGTCGGTATCCCGTATCGGCAGTGTTTGTACTAAATTTGAAGGGACATAGACAGCTTTAGATCGTTCGATTTCAACTTACCGGGAGTTAATTAATGATTAATGACCTTACCCTCGTAGTTTGAAAAAGTTAGATCAAAACACTTGTTTATTAATAATTTCGAGCACAGCTCTTCATCAGAATACAAAGCTAAAAAAAAAAAAATTAGCTTTGTATTCTGATGAAGAGCTGTGCTCGAAATTATTAATAAACAAGTGTTTTGATCTAACTTTTTCAAACTACGAGGGTAAGGTCATTAATCATTAATCAAAATGCTTTAATATGATCCTCGCACAAGCACTGAGAAACTTAAAGATTACCGGGAGTTAACTGCAAAGACCCCCCAAGACATTGTCGGAATCAACTTGCAGCCCCCCCCCCTTCCCCCAATCGCACCTCCACGACCAGAGGGGGGAGGGAGGGGCAGTTCACGGCCAGTAGTCGGACCGAGTACCGACCGATGAGGTACAGGTCTCGCGGGTTTTAACGGTAGGTTTTGCACCTAGACAAATTAGTATACTTCAGGCTATATCTTCGTCGTCTTAATCTTTTAAGTGTTGAAGATGCGATCGCCTTGTTGGTTCACAAGCCGGCCATGGTCGTGTAAAACGATTTCATCGTAGATCGATTAGTTTCTGAGATATAACCGGAAATGTAAAAGTGCAAAACCTACAGCTTAATCTCGCGAGAGCCGTACCTAAAGAGTACCTACCTAATGACCGCCGGCAAGTCGGCGGGCTGGGGCGGGAGTGGGAGTGGGAACCTGGCAGCTAGGAAGGGGCGTCGCAGCTGGGTAGGGGTCGAAGGGCGGTAAAGGCACCCAGAATGCAAAGGTCAATCATCACCCGTTCCGTCGTATCTATCCTCAGGATACTGAAATCCTTCTTTTCCACGCCGCAACCCTATTCCGGGCTGGACAGGCAACTTCATCCCATGCGGGCTCAGGCTGCTCCCTTGAAGCGCGGCGCAGCTCCTGAGGAAGCCATCCGTAGCTTGGGTTGGGAAGGGGGGGCTGGGTGGCCTGGTCCGCAATGCAAAGACCGCAGTGCAAACTGCAAACTCAAACTCAGTACTTACGTTCCACGGTGCCGACCCGTCACGGACCTCGTGCGCGTGGAAATGCGAGCATGCGCCCTCTTTGACAAAAACAACAACTCCGTTTTAGACCGTGCTTGATATTTTCCGCAAAAGCATTACAAATGACGTCATCGTAATCTGAAAATGCTTCTTTTTACAGTTAACGTTAATTTAGATGTAAAGTTATTCAATTTTTAATTTTTTTTTTATCAAAACCAGGCTATTAAGTCTTTTTAGCATTTCTGTATCAAATTGAAAACGTAAAAAGTGGAATTCAGCGCACTGCACATTTCAATGTGAAAACGTCTCGTTGCTCTTATGCAAAGTGGTCCCATTTCATACATTCTCTCTAGTCTCTTTGATCCGTTTAATCACATTTAATTCACTTTCAAATGCTCTGTCTTTGGGACTATAAATGACAAGATACGTCATTTATGACTGTCAGGAGAAAATCACGTGATAGTTGATTGTTCCTCTCGGAAAAATTTACAACATGGTTTTCTGACGTAAACATACGGACGAATGAAAAACAAGCGTTTTCTAGCGATCGCACTGAAGAACGAGCAGAGAAGCCCGGGAAGTGTGTTGATTTTATTTTTATGACGTCATTTATTTTTTATCATTTAAAGCTACTTGTTTTGATCCAGTCTCCAGCCTCAAATGTCTAAACTGCGTCAAAACCGAATCTTGGTCCAAACTTGGTCCAAACATGATGAACGTATGACTAATTTGATTTTATTCCGAATTAATTTCATTTTTGGTGCCAACGAATAATTTAATTTCGTCTGGTCTCCGAAGATATGTAATGACAGAGAAAAAGGATATACTTGGTGAGTAAACTGATATCATTTTGAAGGTACGTAATTTAACATTTTTGTGCCACTGAAATACATTTGATTTGACATGACGATACCTATTTCAGTTTCGTTCTTTATTTCATAAATGAGATAGATAAGTTTGAGACAAGCATTTAAGCCAAGTAGGTACTCTTAACTTAGGCGGAAAGTGCCTTTTTCAGTGAGACTATATGTAGGTACTACCCAGCCAGCAATTCGGTTGGGGAAAGTGCGGGGACAGTGTTGGGGAAAGCTTGGGGAGAACGTACAATTCCCCTATCGGATCGGGGAACGGTCCGTGTTCCCCATCCCTTCCCCGACTGTATTGGTAATATGTTCAAAAGACATGGGGAAATTACACCGATCCCCGTACGGGGAAAGAGCAGCATTCCCCAATCAAACCCCACTGTTGGGGTTCGGTCGGGTTAAAGATCAGATTCCCCGAACGGGGAAGGGTGCGTTATCCCCGACCCATTTTCAAGAACAGTTTGATTGGGGAAAAGTAGGGGAACTGTTGAAATTCCCCGCTCGGGATTTTACACTTAATCCCCAGACGAATCCCAACCGCCAGTAGGACGTCTTGAGATCGACTTCCAGCATGTAATTCCACAAGTATTCAATAAAGAAAAATGCATCTTGGGAATGCTAAAAGCAGTCTTAGGAGCAGTTCTAGAGCTATAGGTTCATGCATCGATTGAAGGGAGATTAATAAAAAAAAATTAGCGATATAACGATTTTATAACGATATAACGATAAAACGATACCTATAACGATATAATTTTTTATAATCGTTTTCATGACAGGTGATCTGGCGAATGCATCAAACCTGACCAAATTTGCACCAAATTTCTTTTTCATATCTTTATATCATATACCTATTTATTTCAGTGTTTTAATCGAAAATAATGTCTGATATAATTGATCAAATCGGCACCGCATCTGGACCAAATGCCTACCAATTGTGTACCAGTTACCTATCATGAAAACGGTTATTCGCAGACATTTGATTGAGGCATTTGATGTATGTAATTTTCGACCTAAAAGAGAGGTAAAGCCGTCTAGGTTTACGGGGCCTGCTAAGCCGTGAGGATGAGGACACGCACACGCCATTATTTTGAACGAACGTTGGTGCCGTTATTTCATGAGGTAAAAACAACTTTGACAACTTTCAGGATCTTTGTTTCTTCTCGCACTGCTGTGGCATAAACATTACGTTTTCTTTCTTCTGTCATCACTCATCGCATTGAAATTACAAAAGCATCAAAATTTCAACAACACACTGCCCACGACATACATTTGTCGCCTCAACGCAGCGAGGGGAGGGGAGGGAGGGGTAGCAACGACCGGCCGCCGTCGGTTCCGTCCGCACATCTGGTTGAGGGGCGTCTCCTGTCGCCATCTGTCATCGTGAATGGGGCCGTGCCGACGTGTCAGACGGGACGAACGGGGGAAGTCGGTCCAGAGTCACTGCGCCGCGCGGTTGTGTGAGCAAGCCGTGGGCTAGGTACCGCTCCAGGTCAGACCATGGTTGGCACTGAAGAGTGCGGCGACACTACAGAGCTGTGAACGAAGACGGTGAACGGCGAGATGTGGTGACCGCTTGACTGACCTGTGCTCAAAGTCGTGATCTACTGCTGGCCGCTGGGGTCGGTGCGTGAGAAGCTGGACTCGGCAACAACGGAGGACGCAGCTCGACGAGGAAGCTATGCTGTGTTGGTAAGGAACTAAAGCACTTAATTGTAACGAATCCATGACAGATATAAAATGACGATACTAACTCAAGTTTATTGTAAAAGACAAAGCTTTCGATACACACAATATCTTGATAACTGTCTAGGATATGCAGAATATGACGTAAAAATGACTAAGGTCATCAACCTCCGTCTGAGATTATCCTTAAATTGCCCGGACAATATAATGTCATCAGCCTAATGCTTCATCTGCTTCTGTTCTAGAGGGACGTCTGCCGGTTACGACCGGAAGGTTTCCGACGGGACTTGGCAGAACCCACAACAGCAGTATGAACCCGGCGTGGAGTTAATGCGTAATTGCTCGCATGAGCAACCGAAGAGCGACTTCCAGGCGAAGATGGTAAGCAGTTTATGGGGGTGGGGGCTAGCTTAGAGCTGTTGAACAACCTGTCCTTCACCCAAGTCTAAAGGCTGAGACACACTCTTTCTACAGCCAGAAAATCTCATGCGAGAGCCCATTAATTAAACACATGAAATCACGATCGCATCAACCACTTACAGGGATGTGCGAACAATTGACGCGATTGTAATAAATAACATGCATTTGAATAGGCTCTCGCATTCCATTTTCTGTCTTCGGGAAGAGCCTGTTTCAGCGGCTCTACTAGACAGCTCTGCTTGTGAAAGGGATTGTTATCTTGAAAAACTATATAGCAACCGATTTTAATTGTCAAACGGCGTTCATTTATCTGTCAAGTGCTTTCGCGAGGAACTTCGTAAGGAAGGCGTAATATAGACGTAAAACATTTATTACCTAATGACTTTTCCTGGAATGAGAAATGTTTAGAAGTACAAATCTAATTATTGAATTTTATTTCCTGATTTAATTAATTATTCTAAGTATATCACTTATGTTGAATGATGAAAGAAAGCGCGGTTTTAAGGCTCATGATTATATATATAAATGCAATGAAAACCCTAAGCCTCATGCTAATAATTGTATTAGTCTCGTTTTCTTGGCCCTATTTTCAATACAATTATTAGCATGAGGCTTAGGGTTTTCATTGCATTTATATATATATAAGTATATCACATTCAATTTTTAAGCACTTTTCGTGGAAAAAAGTTATAAATAAGTGTAATTTTATAAAATGGCATTCAACATGTTTCAGCGTAAGCTGACGTTTCCATATAAGGACATTTCATGTAGTAGCTAGCTGTAAAACCTGATTGATATACCTACAAGTGCACATATTTTTGTTTTTGTCCACAGCCGCAGAATTCCTGGAGATGCGCTGGGACATGGATCATAGCAAGGTGGCTCTCAGCGGCAGCTGACCGCTGAGATGTGACTGAAACAGCCAGAAGGAAGACTCGAGTTGTGGATCCAGGGCACTACTGATCGGAAGGCGGGACCAGCTGTAGGGAGACTACAGAAAAGCCGTCGTTCTCAATCTGCTGAACAGACTCCTACTGCAGAGGATCAACTGGGGTTCGACGTGTTAGAACTGGGGTTAGACCGGTTACCAGTGCTCGTGTTCGTCACCTGTTGTTTGTCACTGCTGTGCTGCTGCTGTATGTCATGTTTGCCACCTGCTAAGCGTTCACAATGTATTTTAAGTGAATAATAACCTTTTTAGTGTTTGTCTTGATTTGTAACGAGTATATCAAGTACCTATGTTAACCTTTCATCAAATGAAGGACTCCACATAAAAATAGTATAGGCTGTGGTGGTACATACCATGCTTGGCCGACTGTTGTGTAGTGATCTAGTCGCTGAAGCGTCCTGAAAGTCTGGAAATAAACAGGCATAGCCAAATGGATTGGTTCTAATTATTTTCCTGTGTGGTTTTATCATTTCCCTATTGCGGGGAAACAAGTGGACAATTTTGTTTGTATTTATACAAGTATGTGTATACAAATATTTGTATGTTTACGGACAAAATAAATAGTCATTGTCAATTTTAATGGGACCCGAATCTGTTTCCCAGTGCGGTTTTTACTGGCTTCTCCGTACGGGGAAAAAAGCAGACAAGGCAGTGGGGCCATTGCCAAGTCGGGGAACGGCCGGGGTTCGCGCGGGGGAAAGGTCTTGGAACGTTAGGGGAAAATCACGGTTTCCCCGATCGGGGAAGGTCTCCAGTAAGCATAAACCCGTATAGCCGGGTGGGGGGAATGTGCGGGGCTCGCACAGGATCTTCTTGGGGAAAATGTTCGAAAGCCCCGTACGGGGAACCGACCTTAACAACGGGTTTTAACCATAGTCGGCGCGGGGGTAGCTTGGGGGACGTTTGGGGAACGCTTGGGCAGTTATACCGTTTCCCCGTACGAATCCCGCATAAAGTTCCCCGTACAAAGTGTCTCAAATCCCAAGCGAACGCTCCGTTTTCCCCAGGAGAACGGTTGGGGTTTCCCCGAGCCTGCCCCAAGCTCGCCACAGGCCTTCCCCGTACGGGGAAAGCTCCGATTTGCTGGCTGGGTAGGTACCTAACTTGTTTACTGTTAATAGTGATTGTAATTGACAATGGTTATTCACAGAACACGCAATTGAGGTGTGGGCTC